CGTAAGGCTTCGAAAGAACAAATAGGCAATTCACTGCATATAGACTGTTAGTTGGAAATCTACTAACTTCAATATTTCAACTCCATAATCATTCCAAAAATGAAAATTTCATAAAAACAATTTTGTTAACACATGAGATAGATAGCTAATGCCTGACAGCCTGAATATTGAAAAATAATGAAGAAGGATGAGTTTAAACAATTTTTTGAAATGATGACGCAGTCATTCCTACCATTACAATTTTCAGCTATGTGCCAACACCACCAAAGGACATAAGATTTTTCGCACCAGGTATAGAAAGACTTGACTTTTGCTTCACTTGCCAAAACTTTTAGCGTTCAATAGATCCATTTTCTTGTTACGGCTGATGATTTCGTATAAACCTTTAATGTAAAAGCATTTCCTGATAAAGATCTTGTCTCTATCCATTGTAATTAATTAAAATTCCCGCTCGAGGTCTACTCTTACTCTATTTCTACGCTACTAGCCCCAAATCAGTAAGTTAAGTCCTAGCTGGCAGCCCGATCCAGGGCTTGTTGGAATGCGATTAAACAAATTCAAGAACCCGTATTCCCATGTAATATTCGTATAAAAGATCGGAACACTTATTCTAAAATATTACTGCAAAAAATACTGTCAGCCATTATTACAAAAATAGCATTTGAAGAACATTTTAGCTAAAATCATTTGCAACGGTCCAAAGCCATCAAACACGACACAGTACTATATACGTTCCAAATCAATATCAGGTAAACCCACCCCACACAAAATTCGCAACGACAACAACAACCAATAGTACCCACCAAACCCTACCACAACCTACCCACCAAAACCGCCTCCTCCATCTTCCATCTCTTCCTTTTTCCTTTCCCTGTCTCAAAACTAACATCTCTATTTCCAAAAGAAAAGATACTTTACACGAATAAAAAATAAACAAAAAAATTGACGAAAACGAGTAGTCCTATACACAAAAAACGCTTATCGAAAACATATATTAGAGATGTAATTAGAACAAACGACTTGTTATAAAAATCAAAGCTCTAAGCAAACCTAAAGCTAGTACTAACGCATCTATTTCAATCAAAAACACAAAAACCCAACGTTTAAACACTCATCTTTACAAAATACAACTTGCCTAAACTCTCAAAACATCAAAATACAATAACTAAAACCTTACAAAACATACCGCTATTTCCTATTATACAAAGCTATTATTTTGTACCAATATCAAAAACCAACGATTAACACCATCAAGCAAAACTAGTATTTTCATTTGAAAAAACCTGTACCAAAACCTATTATAATACGCAACATACCAATATCCAACCACAAAAGTTAAATACCTAACACTATTATTCTATAAAAAGATAAGCCGCCTACATTTGATAAACCTCATATCATCCAAAATACATCCTTCATTTTTCCCGAAAGCATTGCGAAGGGTTCTTCCGGAAAATCACTTGAATGCGTACACTGCTGTAGTTACACTTGAACACTTACACTTCTATACTTACAATGGCGCAGAAGTATCCAAGTGAAAGTTTGCAAGTGTAAGTATCCCAGTGTAAGAGTGAACGCATCCAAGTGCAAGTATGCAAGTGTAAGTATCCCAGTGCAAGTATGCAAGGCAAGTGCAAGTGTAAGTAAAACTTTCACGGGAGATATCCTAATGAAAAACATTCCCCCACTCTATAAATTCTCTTTAAAGGCGGAGGGTGGGACGAACAGCGTCAACCGAAAGTGCAACCCTCTGCGGAGATCGCGCGTGTCGAGTGCGCAAAATGCAGGCGAGAGCGCGCTTGGTCCTGGACGCGCGCAACCCTCTGCGGAGATCGTGCGCGTCGAGTGCGCGAAATGCAGGCGAGAGTGCGATTTGCCCCATGCGCGCGCAACCCTCTGCGGAGATCGTGCGTGTCGAGCGCGCGAAATGCAGGCGAGAGTGCGAATTGTCCGATTCCGGCGCAACCCTCTGCGGAGATCGTGCGTGTAAGCTATAATCTGGCTATCGGTTCCTTTTATTTTTGTTTTGGTGCTTTTTTAAAACTGTAGTTGACAACAAAATCAACTTACAAAGTCTAACTGCACTGAATACTTGAATACTTTGGAATTTCAGTAAAACCACTTTCTAGATATGGTGCTGCAAAATGCCATGAAGGTGCTGCATGAGTGCCGCGTGATATTATTTTAAGACAGCTATTTAAAAAATCATATTAAATAAAAACTCATATTAATTTAAAACAGTTTCTAAGCAAATAGCCGTGAAAGTGCTATTCCACTGCCATGACCATACCTATACAAAACAGAAAGCTCAGGCTGCATCCAGCAACCATGGATGTCAAATTTATTTTTGAAAGTGCACGGAGGTCAAAAACTATCAGCCTAGACATGGTGCTGCAAAGTGCAATCCACGTGTGAGGTTCTTTTTGCAATACAAGAAACAGATAACGTATAGGAAATCATTATGAGATTATTACTTGTTTTATGTTTGCCATAGTTAAGAAATGCATTGCTATTCCAATAAAACCTCCACATGTACGCACATACACCCATTATAATACCACCTGTCTCCTGCAGCAGCTGCACCTGCCAACCAAGATGCACCTTGGCAGCAGTGGGGTGGGACATTGACAGTCCCTGAACTGAGCTCTTGGCGACCACCCACCTGGCCACCATGCCAATGAGGTCCTTGCAACAAATTTTGACTTGACACACAGCAGTGGGTCAAATGGTGGAATCATTATGGTCATATTCAAAGTATTTTGCAATGCTATGTACGGCACTTGCGCAGCACCGGTTTTAGTTAGTTCTTACTAGTTATAATGACTTCAAGCAGCAAGAAAAACAAACCAAGTGGGTGCTGCAAAAGTGCCCTCAAAGTGTGTGCTGCACCAATGCACCAAAACCAGAACCAACAATATGGCACACAACACAGTATCAAAAAGAGAGGCCATGCGGTTGATCACATCCTTGTTCAAACATATTGTGTTTGATGATTTCAGCTCAAAGGCACAGAACCAATCATGAAACATCAAAAGCCATGTCTAGGCCAACTACTTTCTCAATCACTTGCTATGTCGCTGCCACGCTCCATAGTGCCTAATAAACATTTTTGATTAGTAGGAAAACTTATACAAACAAATCACACTTCAAAGTCATCAAATCTCCATCATGATTATAATTTATAACCACTTTGATCGCTTGGTATCATGGCGCTAGTATCTGTGGCCGATGCATATGGGATGCGGTGCCCCATGTGTGGGGTGCCTTATTACAAGTCAGGATGGGAACCGCTCCAATGGGAAGCTCGTGACCCGCTTGCAGCTCAGTGGAGCGTGGCCTGCCGGATTTGCACAATGAAGAAGTGTACCAACCCCCAGGTCGTTTATCAACATTGGAAGATCCTCGAGTCCGCTTACCACGAGTTGTTGGCTACAACAGGCTTTGTCAGAAGCTTCGTTGAATTTTGTGAAGGAGGAAGCCAACGGTCATGGCACAAACAGTTCCACCAGGGCGTGTGGCCGGGCTGCAATCCGGGCAATGTTTTGAAGAGCTTCGCACTGCCACCAGATGTGGCCTTGCTCTGGATTAGAGTTTTTTATTTTCCTTTTAAATCCTTGGGAAGAAAGCAAATAGTGTGTCAATCTGTAAAGGTTTCCGCGAAGAATGCTTGATCTGAGGTGATCGATTTGGTCACCAGTATGACCACAAAAGCTTGTGCGGATTGGCTGGAAGGCTTTGCAGCCAAGCATCCTTACAACGGAGGACTGGCCTTGATCCACTTTGCCCACAGTTTGCAACTTGGTCCTATTTCATTGAGCATTTTTTATAGAGTGCGTTTTCAATTTATAAAGTGTGTTGAGCAATAAAAACAAAAGGCACTAGTCTGCAAAATACACTTTCTCAGGTACATGGCTCTGAGACATGCTCATGGTGGCGACCATCTTGCCCAATTTAATAATATGATTTGGGATCAAATCGCGGCTTATTATTGGGAGAAGAGTGGTTGGATAACATATTGAAATTGAAAAGGATCTTGTTGTCCTTTAGCAGCTAGGAGAAATAGGTTGCCAAAGGATATGCTAAGTTTAAATAAATGCAACCATTCAGTATTTGAGTTCATCCACCACTCCAGACGGAATTTTGGTGGCTACAAGGCTGGGCGGAAGAATACCCAAGCCATTGGCCACTGATTTTGGGAATCGTTTGGATGACCAACTCACCCATGCCATGGAATCTTCACTGAAGCCGAAGAAGGCTAAGGATTAAGGATTGTGGTCGAAAACCGACCCCTTGAGAAAAACATTGCGGCGTGCTCACTGTGGCTGTGGGGGGTACAGAGGGATCTCGTGACCCGAACAAGTGTGTAAACCTGGAGGCCAATGCATCCAGCGGTCCTTTTGCAGGGCGGAGAACGCAAGGGCCTCAATGTGTTCACTCTCATATTGGTTGCAGAAAGGTGTTGCGCAAATGCCTGTTCCATGGTGCTGCAAAAGTGCCAATCAACTATATAGTTTAATTTGATGGAATTTGGCCGCTTCAATTATGTAATATGTGTTTCTATAATGCTATTGGGCCATTACAACTTATGGAGGGATATCAAAATCAGGCCTCTCTCTTTCTCTATGTAAAATCTATTTCATGGCAAGCATGATGAGATGTTTATGGCAATTGGTCCGTGTCAGTCTGAAGTGCTGAGTTGGCAGCAGATCTGAAGCTCGCTGGCACCTGGCCCAGTGATGCATCCCACTGGCTAATGCATATAGAAAGTGCTTGTCCCATTGACTGCTATTGCAAGTTGAAAAGCAGATTTTTTGAGATAGTGCCACAGATGACTGTTGCTCTTGTGGATGAACCACAGCAGGTTTTGCTGCCCTATTAAGAAGCTTTCCACAAAGCAAAAGACAGGAGATTATGAGTTGCCCGTGGTTGGTAATCAACTAACTGCTTCAATAGAAGCTACCTATGGCTACTTTGGAAACGAATGCTAAATGGAAGCTTCTTCATGCTGCCGGAGCAGCTGATGATCCCGACAATTCAATTGCACAGTCGGGAGGCACAGAAACATCACGAGTGAGGATCACAATGGGGCGAAACGGCACTAGTCCTTTGGCTGCTGTTGGGCTCCATTTGACAACCCAAATCATCTCAGTAAAGGGTGTGCTCCACTTGTCAAAGCTGATGCAGCCAGCCATCTTGTCAAAGCTGACGCATGCCTTGCCCTGTGCATCCTTCATGACCGATTTGGCCGGAATCTCCTGCACCTGGAAATAGATGCTCTTGTCTCGCTCCATCTGGAAAAATGCCGGATCTGTATCAGCTGGGGCATCTTTGATGTGGTGATATTGCACAGTCACATCAGGATTTGTGCTGCGCTTTGCCTTGATCACTTCACCAAGAGTTTCGATAGTGCCATTGCATTGGACCAGAGTGCTCGCATTGGCCAGGTCATGCAATATGTCCACCTCTCGGACTCCATCTTGCGCATTGGCTTTGTGCCACCATTTGCCAGCATGGAAACCAGCAATGACATGATTCTTGTGCAAAATGACATCTTTCGGGCCGCGGTTGACCAACCAAATCCTGGATCCAAGCGTGATGACCAAGGACACCTGCCCCTTGGTCTTGGAAAGGTTCAAAGAGGCCTCCCATGTCAACGGAGTCGGCATCTCACTGATCTTGATCGCCTCTTTGATCTCAGCTTTGGCTTCACCTTTGGTCTCTTCTTTCTTTGGGGTGCCAGTTGCCTCATGCTTTGGCAGCTTTCCAGGTGGTAGCGGGAGCCCATCACTGTCTCGCTTTTTGGAATCTGTAACATCCAATGGCAGTGTCGATCGAGCCTCATTGATGACTTGCCAGAACTCTGGCCCAAAGGCGGGGTGTTCTCCCCAAGATGCAAGAACCTTGTCTGGAGCCTTGAGGGTCACCAACCCATCCACTTTGACCTGTTTGTTGAGGACCAAGGCATTAAGTGTCGGCAAAGGAGGGCTGGTTTCCTTCAAGTCTGCTGGCACCTCCTCAGGAGGGAGTGTCACTCCAGGGATGGCACCCTCCAGAAGACTCTGGGTAAGAAATTCTTTCATGTAGGTTCTGGACCATTCCTCCTCACCAACATTGCGGCGCAACCCAAGGTAGTAAAGGAATTGGTTGTCCTTCTCAAGCGCCGCCGCCCGACTGAAGTCACACGTGTGCACAGTCAGATCCACAATGAGGGTCGATGACCTGGCCGCTGCAACAGATGCAGAGTTCTCTATCTTCAGGACAGCTTTGATGATGTTCCTGGCCGCAGCCACACCAATCTGCTGATTCTTTTCAGCTTGTGATGGATGGGTCGATGCATCTGTGCTGCTGGGCAAAGCACAATCAGACATATCCTCAATGGTCAGAAGTTCTTTAGAGGAAGGAAGCTCAGCTTCTTTCCACAGCGGTTTGCGGATGATGGAACTCTTGGCAAAGTGCTCACTTGCCAGCTTGTAGATGTCATCAGACAGTGTGAAGCAAACCCGGGCAGTGTGAACCAGTGACCTGACCAAAAATGGCAACTGATGATAATATTCCTATCTATCCAGAAAATGAAGACATGATAGGTGGCACATTGCAGCACCAAGAAAGTACATTTGCAGCAAACTCACAAACTGAAGATATATATATATATATGATAAATGATTGCATTTCTGCAGCACCAAGAAAGTACGACTTTGCAGCACTAAATTTCAACAAATGATATTCACAGCCCAGCCTCTTGCTGCGGTCATCGCACCGCCCCTTGTATGGCAACACTGCCACACCATCAAGGTTGATGTTGTTCTGCCCAAGCAGTTTCTGGCAGCTCTCCTCAAGTTTGTGCAGTTTCCCCTTCTCAAAAGAAAAGGTTGGCATCAAGAACAGCCCCACACTTTTAGGAGAGCTTGGGCAATTCAGCAAATTTCCCAGGATCTGTGCTTGGATTTTTGGCATTGTGATGGCCAAAGATTTGGCGCTGCCCAATTCAGAAGGACCACCGCCACCAGGTCCTCTGCCTTGAGTTGTTCAAGCTTCAAAATCTGGCGCATACAATCATTGACAAATCTGGCGGCACTATTAGCATTCTCAAGCTCCGACATCTCAATCCGCCAATGCTCCGAGGCTCGGGTCAACATCGCATCAGCCAAATCTTTGGCTCGGGACTGCCTTGAAATCTTCCACTGGAATGCTTGGTGGTAGACAGCAGCTTCTCTGTCTCTGGATCTGGTAAGCCACACACGGTAAACATCAATATCATGTCTGATCTGAGACAAGGCGATGTCGTTTCTCAAGTTGGCCTGGCAAAATGGCATGCCCTGCAGGTGCCAGGCCCAGTCGGGCCATTTCATCATCAGCATTGGCAGCATGTTTCGCCATCAGTCCCTTCACCAACGGTATGTCCGCAGGCTTGAAATTTGATTGCTCCTGCGACAGTGCATTCTGTAGTTCCAACTCCAGATTCATATGGCCCTCCAGAAACTGCTGGACTAACTCAGCCTCAAGGACATCGTGGCTGATCGGGTGATTCGTGACCAGGTCTGCCAATCACTGCTGATAACAAGGCGCACATCTGGGCAGCTTCTTCCATAGTTGCTGCCGGCACCTTGACCCGTGCCCCTTCCAGCTTGGAACGGCGCTGGGCATCAACATACCTGAGCAAGAGCATGAAGGCCTCGCTGGTCATAGTCAACCTAGCATTCCACTCCTTCGGAAAACCACGTGGCCCACCACCTGGCATAATCTTCTTTGATGCCCACACTGTCTCACTGAAAGCATTGCCTTGGCTTCCAAACTCATTCAAATGACCCAGTAGGAACTCAATGGCCTTCTAATCCAGAGCTAGCAAAGCCAGAACCGCTAAGTGCTTGTTCCCTTGGAGCTTGGATTGGTTTGTGGCTGTACGGTTCCAATCTTTGATCAGCTCGGTCGGCGTGTAAGCATCACGGTTCTTCACCAAGTTCAACTTTCCAAGCCAAGTGAGTGCACAGTGTTGCTTGGTAATGCTCTCTGCTGCACATTCTTTGGCATTGCCTAGGCCAAAGGTGCCATGATCACACCCTTTTAACATTGTTAGATGCACCATAATGTCTATGGGCCACAGAACAAGAGTACTAAAACACATCCAAAGCACAAAGGGCGACACTGGCAATGTCGCTTGCGCAATCACCACGACGGCAATGGATGGCACACATACTTCTTTGCAGCTCTGGGAAAAGGCTGCCAAAGTCCCAGTGGTATCTGATGGAAAAGCTTGCCAGGAACAACATTGTTGCTGACCGCGCAGCACCCTTGACATAGCTCACCCATTGGTTGGTCATGGTGCTCCGCGAGTCCGGTGCCTCCCAAACCTGAAGTGGATCAGTTTGTGTGACACAGCCATTGGTAAGGAACTCATCCAGCAACAGCTCACTTTGAGTCCGGAATGGCGGTGGCTTTGGTGAACTCTGCTCATCCCAAGACAGGTCGTTGAGATGCACCGCAAACTGTCTGGGTGCGCTGGCGCGGACTTCCATGAAGTTGCATAGGATTGTGGCAAGGCCGGGAATGCAGTCATCAGCTGAAAGTTGAACTCATCAAGCTTGGACTGGTCACTGTAGTGATGTTCAAGATATTGCCATGCATGGCGGTGTTTTTTCAACTCATTGAAAGCCACTGACCGGATCACTTCCCTGAAATTTTCAGGGGTCAATGGCTCATGAGTCTCTGGCCCATCTTTGATTGCAGCTGCCATGGCCAAGACTCCAGTCAGTCCGCCCCACTTTGATCTGGCAAAATCGCTGGCAGAAATTCTGAAATGAAATTCTGAAATTCTGAAATGAAATTATGACATGAAATTCTCGGATCCTGACGATCTACCCCCCCCTGAGCTCAGCCCCCCCGATAGTTCGGCTTCAGATGAAATGTGACGATCCCCCCCCCAGACCAGGATCCTGACGATCTACCCCCCCTGAGCTCAGCCCCCCCCTGATCTTCAGGATCTTGATGTTGGATATGTTGTTGGTCAGGCTTCATCTGAAATCTGACGATCTCACCCCCCTGAGCTCAGCCGCCCCTGATCTTCAGGATCTGCCTTTCTAATAATCATTTTTACAAATGTCAAATTCCGTTTCAATGAGCCTTATCTCAATGAGCAAATTGTTTTTGCAGCGCTGCGGCTTCCATCTGCCGGACCGGAATCTGTGAGTGGTTCGGCAAAATCTGATTGCGCTGGAGCCAGGCAAGGCCCAAATTTCCAATTCACCGAGGCCTTTGGCAAGTTCAGGCCTTGTAAAGCATTCAAAGCGCCAACCTTCATGGCTGAGGCTGGACAGTGGAAACCACAGCCTGACAAATTGCCTGGCGCATTTGGTAAGGGTACTTTTGACACTGATAGCGACATGCCACACACTGAACCCTCATTTGGTCGGTGTGGTGACTGGCATGAGCATTGGAATTCAGAAAATATGGCACGTATTGCCGGGGCATTGCTGAGAAAGCGGGCGCTTCTTAATTGGACAACCACCTTGTGGGCATTTCAGGCCAACACAGCATTGATCAAAGTCTGTGGTCTGACAAGCACCATGCTCCATCAGCTTGATGATTGATGGATGCTTCGAGGAAGAAGCCCGGTGGGGGTGCTCTATGCAGAAGTGCTTGGAGTCTCTCAGCTAAAGCAGCTGTGATGTCCAAAAATCCTTCAGCTTCTGTAAGGCGACATTGGTAAATCTCCTGGTCCATGCGCTCAAAATTGCGGAAGCAAACTTGGAGCGGACTGAACATGGTGCAAGGCGGGCTCGGCATGATGAACATGGGCAACTGCTCCATGAGCACATGGAAGGCCATTGCCCTGCAATGCCACAAGTTGAAATCATGCCCCAGTTTCAAATCCATGGCCACCGCCCCATGCATGCCAGCTGCCAGGATATGTGGCAACACCCTCGGGGCTGTGAAAAACTCAGCAAAGTGAACCTCTTCATCGGGCACCTCCATGATATGGTCAGTCGCCCTGGCAGCACCGGTCTGACCAGCTGATTCCTCCTCAGCGCCCAGCTCCTCCATGGTGAGGTCAATCATGGCCATCAGTGTTTCTTTCTAACACCGGACTGCCCAGCCGCTGGCCAGGACTTTGACTGAGTGCCAAAACACTGCAATTGCAAAAAAAGAATAAGGCCACAGGTCCCTTAGACTCAATGATGAATCTGCAAACACAGCAAATGCCGGTACTTCGCAGCACCATTCAGGCACTTAGTCAGCACCTCTATGCTTTATGATTCTGAGCACCTGCACACAGACACACTGTGACTATCAAGTTCAACGGAACATGATCATGGAAATGCCATAAGTGGCTCACGCCAGGCAGGCAACAGATAAGCCCCAATGGCCTGCAGCAAGATCAGCCCGGTAATGCGCACTTTCAAACAAGACCGGCGTGCGCAGGTCATTTTCTAGATCCATCATGTTAGCAGTTTGTGGGCAGGCTTTTAGTATTATGGCAAGATTCAACATTTTTTGCATGGAGAATGACAATGAATCAGTCCAGTCATACCAGTCCAAGGTTGAACTTGCCTTCCTCAACGCGGTCAGCCACCATATGCCCCAGTGTGGTAGGCAGCCTCCACAGACATGTGAACATGCAAAATCAGAATCACAGCAGTATAAACAATTTGCCAGAACATCGGGAAAGCGAGTCCGTGTACAGCGCTCCCAAAACAGTGCAAGGTTTTTCCGGTCTGGCCAAACAGGTTAGAATCTTCCATCAGCAAAACTTTCCAATGATTGTGGAAATCAGCCAGAGCTGGGCTGGCTCTTAAACACCCAAGCAGTTTCACCAGAATTCAGGACCAGCCCTGCCCGCTTCCGGCATTGCAAGCAGCCACGTTGTTCATTGAATTTGCATTTGCTGCAGCCAAGCCCCAAATCTCCATCAGGAAAAGGAAGGCGCCCCACTTGTTTGGGGCGCTTCGCCCCACTTGCTTTGGGCACTGATTTTGCCAACTTTGGAGCAGCTGCTGGCCGTTTCATGACCGGTTCTTTCGCTTTCTCTTCCAGTGCTGCTTTCCTTTCGGGTGCACCATTTCTGCCCCGTATGTTTTCATCATGAGATCCTCAACTCCCCCTAGCCAAACACCCCCTACCCTCTGGACTTAACATATAAGACATTACTAAGCCCTTATTATGATCTTATTAATGTCTTGCTAAGAAATAGCAAAAATAAGCAAGAAATAAGACACAAAACACCAACAAGGGTTTATTTTGATGCTATTTATCAGTTATCGGCGATTTGTGACTGACTGTGGGAACAAGCAATTTTGTTGCAGAGATCTGCAGCAACGTGACGTGTCACGCGTTCGGCTCATTGGTCAGTGGCTCGAGTTGAGATTGGCCGTCGCAATCTCGATACCGGGAGAGCCCGACCGCATGCAATGCGCCCGCAGACCCAGATACAATTGCGGCATTTTTTCAATATGGTCTACTGTATCTAGTTCAAGGCTGAGGCTGAGGTATCCATCAAAGCGTGTATGGGAGAGTCTATTATTATCTATTATATTTTTTATCTATTTTTTTGCGAACCTGTAAACTTGAAAGACCTGGTTTCTGATTTCAGTCAGACTGTCAGACAACTCAGACTGTCAAATCTAACTTTGCCTCAATTAGGCAGAGACCAACGACGACAACGACGAATCCTTTCACTCGAGAGGTCAGATTCTGAGCCAGTCTAATCCACTAAGACTCACCCAGTCAATCAGACCCGGAACAAAGTAAGAGATTTGTCAGTGAGGTGAAACAACTGAACTGTTTGGCAAAAAATAAATAAAGATAAATCTGATAATAGGCCACCGCTGATGATTCAACCAATCGTGAGACCCACATTTATTATGAACCCTGTGTCCAATTCAAGTGAGTTTGGGGTGAGTTTGATTCAGTCAATCAATTTGTGGGATTGGCGGTCCACTGGAGGCTTAGTGCGCTTCGCTGGCCAAGACATCGCGATTTATTTGTCTCGGACACAGCAGACGCAATGGGTTGCGACTCAGGATGGTTGTTCCCACACAGAACCAATAATTTTTTGTAGAGTCAACCGCTTTAGCAGTAGCAATGTAACCCGTAACAGGAATGAGTAATCTGTCTGAGTAAGCCTAGTTTGACTGATGTTTGATTCAATGAACGACTTTGGGCTTTGGACTCTTTGAAATACAAGTGGGTCAAATCATTCAATAATACAATATTTCGCTTGTTTCCACTCTGTTGTTGTGAATGTTCACTGGATTGAACTTTGGCCGTGACATTGCTGGCAGGCTTTGACTGCGTTTCTCCGGACCAAGAACATCAAGAAGGCAATGGAGTCCTTCCGAAGGAACCAGGACTCCATTGATGATGTTCACCGTCGAATTTGGCCAGGATTCATTGTTCAGAGACTTCGGACTAAGCACCACTTGGCTTCAGTAGCAGACGCAGATCAAGATGTCTGGTTCAGAGAGACAACATTGAGCTCATCCACTTTCATTGCCTTTATTACATTTGCTATTTCCGGCAAGTTCCGGCCGTTGATTGATAGAGAAACTGCCTGCACCTCGTTTGCCAGCCTACTCGCACTTCTGTGCAGTTCAACAGGGGGTTTTGTGCTAGAACATTGGCCTGTTGGCTCTGGTTCGGACGCCTCAGTGACGCTGCCAGTTGACCAGAATGGGTTTGTTGATGGGCGTATCTTTTGGGACGAAGACTACTTCATTTCTTCTGTTCGCAGGACTTGGGGTGTTGACTACAAGAATTCCCAGAAGAAGTGGCTGCAATCTAGCAATGGCAGAGTATCAAAGATGAGTTTGTGTGAGCTTCTATGTTTCTGTTTGGACCCTCAACACGATGCGACCATGCAAGATATTGTAGTGGGTCCAACGCTGGACTTACTGTCAGAGATCTGTGTGATTCTAGATGAGTCAGTGTCGTTACTACAGCGTGACATGGAACGGCTCGATCCCAACGTTGACTTCAAGAACCAAAAACGGATGGCGCGGACTGTGAAACGAATCTGGGTAGAGTCGGTTGCTCGGAAGGTATGGTCTGGCAAAGAACCATGTCATGTCAAAAAAGTATTTATATATTTGTGTCTTATATATTTTACTTCTTTGCAGGGGTTTGCCAAGTCACTAGCAGCAACTAGCAGCTAGCATAATGTGATGTGCATCAACCTGAATATTGTTTTGGATGTACTGCCCTGTAAAATCGCTTGCCCAGGAAAAACTGATCACAGGGGCTGTGAAGACTTTGGGCAGCACTGCAGGGCGGCATTTGACCCCACTAAGAGTGTCAGGTCCAGCGATGGTGGGGGGACCCGGTTCCGGTTATGACCATCAGGTAGCCATCATTGAACTCAGTCGGAAAAAAGCACATGCGCATTCATGAGGAGACCGAGTAAATTAAATCAGCTTAAAAATGCTTAAATTAAAAGCTACGCCACACACCACAATGCTCAGCTAGTCGAATCGATTCGCGCAGAGTCAGTCACTGTCACTAATCGGCAGCTTTCTCATTAATA